GCTTTTCCTTGTGTCTGGGAAACCCAAGGTCAGCTACTCCAAAGAAAGCAATCTTCTAAATTCAGATGCTTAACCTTGAAGCAGGCTATTTTTCTAACTTTTGAAATTTAAAGTGGCTGCTTTATACAAAATGAAGTTACTTTGGCTATTACAATTTGGGGGGGGGGTTGTCTCCATTTGTGACCATAACAACACACCACATGAGAAAGGACAGCCTCACTGGGGATAGGATTTTGCAGGGTTGTCCAATGCATCTGCCCTGCTTACTCCCTGGCTTTATTCAACACGAGCCTCCTTTCATCTCCAGTCAGGAGGATAGTGAGCAGGGCTTGAGAGATGATGGCATAGAAAGAGGTGAGTAAATCAGCCACTCTATGGAGTCTAGTGCATGTTTTTAGTTCAGATGTGAGGTGGAGAAGGGATTGTGGGCCCACATTGTGTAGCCACCCATCATTTGCTGCACCAAGTGGAAGTCTTTTCTGTGGGTACCGACCAGACAATTCTCTACCAAAACAACCCTATCGGATGCAAGAGGGACACCATCCCAGATCTTCTTCCATCCCCATCCTCTAGCCTCCTGTGCGCACAGAAGAGCTGGTTCCTGTGCTCACTACCCTGGGCTGAGGGTCTAACCCCACCAGCCCCACAGCATCTGCTTCTTCTTCATCGTCCTCCTGTCTCTGGCTTTGCTGGAACAAGTTCTGGCTTTTCTATTTGTACAATCACTTTCCCTCCAGTCAGGGCTGCATCCTGACTGTGCACAAAAGCCTGAACATGAGGAATCTTCCCCTATTTTCTAGATCCTTTGCAAAACAATTCCAATTGAGAAACAGTGACATGATTTCAAGACCCATTCAATGGTCACCTTTTACCAGAAAGTACAAAGTGTTACAATAATACACCATCTTTTCTTTCTTTTTTTTTTTTCTTTTTCTTGTAGCTGTAAGCATGGCTGGACCAATGCTTAAAACATGTTCCAAGGGGCTGTCACTAGAAATGGAAGCTAATCCACCCATTCTAATAGCACAGCTCTGAAACAAATCAGACACTGGAAAGTCCTGTAAACCAGAGGCCAAACAGCCTGTGCCCAGGAATACAAAACAGAACAGAAAGTCACCTCAAACCAGAGGCCCCATATGTTTTAATTTGTTTTTAAAGCCGGGAATTAAACCAGAAAACAGCAATTCATTATGTGAAGGTGATGGAATGTGCTGGAGGAAATGGGAGTCTTCAAGTGAAATCACTGGACATTTGCTTGGGCATTTCCCCTGGAACCCTAGGGCTCTCCTGTCTTCAGATTCTCCCAGCCAGCTAAATGAACGACTTTCAGAGTCTCAAAGCTGTCTTGCTAAGGAGAGCAATCTAGAACACATACGGGGCCCATTCTGCCTGTCATATGCATGAAGCAAGGAATAGAACTTTTAGACTTTTACTTAGCCAGCCAGAGCAAAATCTGCCTTCCCCTATCCTTTCTGTTACCATTTAAAAAAAGATTTATTTTTATTTTATGTATGAGTGTTTTGCCTGCATGTATATATGGGCACCACATGCAGGCCTGGTGCCCAGAGGCCAGAAGAGGGCATGAGATTCCCTAGAACTGAAGTTCTAGGTGGTTGTGAGCTGCCATGTGAGTGTTGGGAACCCAGCTTAGGTTGGTCTTGTCTTCATCATTGAGTCTTGCATTTCTTTTCTGCACCAGTTTGGAGAACATCTAGAATATTAACAACTTGGAACAAACTTTTAGCAGTGTATAGGTGCTAAGATGCTTCCAAAGCATATGTGCAGATTCCTTTCTACA